CACACTCCTGAGTAAAAATGGGTACTGAATATTGGATTCTTAAATGTCCAAAATTGATATCAAATACTGAAAAACAAAGATTAAAAATCTAGAGTAGAGGTTAGACTCTTAAAAATACAATATTAAAAACAAAAACAAAAAATTTAACAAATATACATGAAGTTTGGTTTTAAAATAGGACCTCTTTTTTTTTTTGCAAGGTTATAGTGAAATGAAAATGAAAATTAAGGAGTAATAGAGGAGTAATAGAGGATTTTAAAAGAAAATAAGGGAAAAAAAAGAAAAAAAAATTTTAATTAAAAAAATAGTAAAAATATATGAAAATGAAAGTTAAGGAGTAATAGAGGAGTAATACGGAATTTTAAAAGAAAAGAAAAAAATGAAAAAAAAAATTTTTTTAAATTAAACCAACCAACAAACAAAAAAGTTAAAATATATCTAGGAATTTCTCTGGAGCTGTTGCAGTCAGTGTGGGTTTGGTTCAGTTTCAGATAGCTCCTTGTTCCAGCTTACACTTCTCAATACCTATAGGCCCTTTCCGGTGTAGTCGGTGTTACCTACAGGGATTTTAATCGGTTGCACGGGTCACTTCTGAAGCGGTTCCCTTTGTTTATTTGGCTTGTGTTTGCCGGTCTCTTCAGTGTCTAATTTCCACCCTGACACAAGTGGGCAGAGGTGGTCTCTTGTTCAGGTTCGCTTGTTCAGTCGCGCTGCGGGGAGGGAGGGGCGCTGCAGACAAATGTCACTTGCCTGTGTGGGGAGGACTCGCAGTGCTCCGGCCACACTGGGTTTGCCCCTGCTCACGGCGTGTGTGCTTTCCCCGTCTACACTGCTCAGGCTCCAGGCTGCTCTCCAGGGAGCAGGCCCTGCGTGGTGTGTGGTTCCAGTTTTCGGGTTCTCCACAAAAGCGCGGACTCGGTTGGGCCTGCGTTTTGTGCCTTCCCCGCCCGAGCAGCTCAGGCAGCCAGGAGCTTAACGGGCGCGCTCTCCCCGGGTACGGTGTGCCTTATCCCCTCTGCGGCCCCAGCCTCAGTTTCCGCCCACCAGTCGGGTGCGTGCGCCTTGTGTCTGTTCTGGGGAACTGGTCTCTAGTCGCGACCCTCCCGGGGGATGTCGACCACCCAGAATCTCAGGAAGTCTTTGGTTATAAACTGGAGGCCTGTTTGCAGTTTGGTAGGGGATGCCGTCTCTGGGGCCGAGTTTGCCCCTTTCCCCTCCCCGCTGCCTCCTGCCTCCGGCGGGGGATGGGCCAGTCCGCCGCCGGCTAGCTCTTCTCTGGAATCGCTCAGTCCTTCCTTTGTTCTGCGAATGGGCCCACAGTGTGTTCGGGCGGTTAATTTTCTCTCTGTCTCTTGCTTTCCCACAGTTTAAGTTGCTATCTCACATTAGCTCCCTCTGATTGCCCTCAGGGCATTCGGGCCTGGTCTTTACCCTGAGCAATGCCACCCGCTCCTCTCCATTCCGCCTCCACTTGCTGGTGGCGGATGCGGGCGTCTGGGGTACTTTTCTGCTGGGAGTTGCTTTTAGGCGTGTAATCTGTGGGTTTTATTTATTTTTCCTCCCAGTTAGGTTGCCCTCCGAGATTCGAAAACTTCCCCCAGACCCGCCTGTGCAAGGGTTTCCTGGTGTTTGGAAACTTCCTCTATTATGACTTCCTTCCCGGGACGGCTCTCCGTCCCCAGCTCTTTTGTCTCTCTTTTTATCTTTTATATTTTGTCCTACCTCCTTTTGAAGGTGATGGGCTGATTTTCTGGGCGCCTGATGTCCTCTGCTAGTGGTCAGAAGTTGTTTTGTGGAGTTTGCTCAGCGTTCAAGTGTTCTTTCGATGAATTTGTAGGGGAGAAAGTGGTCTCCCCGTCCTAGTCCTCCGCCATCTTAACTCCTCCCCCAGAACTCCACAACTTCTAACCAACTTTTTATGCTTGACCATTAAAACCCACCTTTCTTTAAGTACCAGCATTCATGAAGAATTACTCACTCAATACGGAGGGGTTTTCTTTCTCATTTTTTAAATTGTAAAGCATTGCAGAAGTATTGCTTATGGATACATTTTTAACTGCAAATGCACATTATTTGAATGACATCATAGATCAGATAACACTTGTAGATTAGCCCAGGAACTAATCCATTATTTACCTCACCATGACTATGAGAAGGCCAAGTTCTAAGTTTCAAAGAACTCACTTGCAAATAAATATTTGAGATGATGTTTTTTGTACGATGGGCCCTAAATGCTTTCTTTAAATATTTGCAACAATTTACAAGTTTCACTTTGTAATACACACCGACAAAGGATGCTCTTTAACTCAGACTACTGCTCTTTACTTAAGAAAAACAGTAACTTGTGGGGCCCAGCTTGAGATCAGAAGACTCAGATACGTCAGTAGAAAGGGTTTTGTCCAGAAACTGAAACAAGGGAAGAATAAAAGAGAAAAGTATAACATTATTAGGCATATATTACATAAAAATAACTCAGATCCAGAAAAAACATTTCATTTAAATATAAATACTTTTTAAATTACGATGTGCTGTGTATGCTAAGTCACTTCAGTTCTGTCTAACTCTTTTTGACTCTAAGGGCTATACCCTTCCAGGCGCCTCTGTCCATGGGATACTCCAGGCAAGAATACTGGATTGGATTTCCATTTCCTATTCCAGAAGATCTTCTGAACTCAGGGACTGAAACTTCTTTACCACTAGTGCCACCTGGGAAGCTCCTTTTTATTACATTTGTTCTAATGGTCACTTCTATGTTATAATATGGGACTTATCAATATATGTCTCAACAAGTCTCATACAGCTATGTGTTTCCGCTTTAAAAATAACAACTTAGCATCTGCTTACCTACATCTGCTGGTTAGTCATTTAACTCACTGATTATTTTTGGTACAAGATGAGTAGAAGCATTTCTTTTTAAACCATTCCCCCAACTTATAGTATGTCATCAGCAGGACTTAGCTCCTCATTTCAGTCATTATCTTCTTACATGCATTTTGGCCATAGAGTAAAATGCTCCCAGATGTCAAAGAGAGTTGGATGACCCTTAAAAGTCTCAGCCACTTAGAATCTCAGGATGCATTTCAAAAAACAAAGGTCTAAGTTGTTTTAGGGCTTCCCTGGTGGATCAGACAGCAAAGAATCCACCTGCAGTGTGAGAGACGTGGGTTCGATCCCTGGGTGGGGAAGATTCCCTGGAGGAGGACATGGCAACCCACTCCAGTGTTCTTGCCTGGAGAATCCCCATGGACAGAAGAGTCTGGTGGGCTACAGACCATGGGGTCACAGAGTCAAATAAGACTGAGCAGCTAAACACAAGTCATTTTAAACTACACTATGGAACTTGGGAGAGAACTTGTGCATGCTAAGGTGCTTCAGTTGTGTCCGGCTCTTTGAGACCCTCTGGACTGCAGCCCACCAGGTTCCTCTGTCCACAGGATTTTCCAGGCAAGGATACTGGAGTAGGTTACCAAGCCCTATGGGGGATCTTCCTGACCCAGGGATCGAACTCACGTCTCCTATGTCTCCTGCATTGGCAGGTGGGTTCTTTACCACTAGCACCACCTGGGAAGACCTGGAAGAGAAATGTAATATAATTCAGTAAGAATAAAAGGTATAACACGCACACACACACACACACACACACACCCTCTATTTTAATGGTTAAGTAAAATAAACACAGGCTACAACTTTCCTTTGAAAGTTCAGTAGATGTTCCTGTAGTATACTTTTAAAATTCCTCATAGACCCTTAGTACAAAAGAACAAAGTGAAGTCGCTCAGTAGTACCTGGAAGAGAAATGTAATATAATTCAGTAAGAATAAAAGGTATAACACGCACACACACACACACACACACACACACACACCATTTTAATGGTTAAGTAAAATAAACACAGGCTACAACTTTCCTTTGAAAGTTCAGTAGATGTTCCTGTGGTATACTTTTAAAATTCCTCATAGACCCTTAGTACAAAAGAACAAAGTGAAGTCGCTCAGTAGTGTGTGATCCTATGGACTGTAGCCTACCAGGCTCCTCTGTCCATGGAATTTTCCAGGTAGGAGTGCTAGAGTGGGTTGCCATTTCCTTTTCCAGGGGAATCTTCCCAATGCAGGGACTGAACCTGGGTCTCCTGCATTGCAGGCAGATGCTTTACCATCTGAGCCACCAGGGAAGCCATAGACCCTTAGTTACCTATGAAATCAAGTCTAAATTCTTCAGTTTGGCTTCAGACAACCTGACTCATATCCTGCTCCACCCATCACTATTTCCCGGTCATCCCCTACTGTAGCCACACCTATAGCTTCAATGTGCAACAGACCTTCTTTCATGTGTCTCCCATCTGACACATTCTTCCTTCCCCTGTGCATGCCTATCCTCCAAATCATGGCTGAGGTTCTGTCTTCTCTCTCTAAACCTCCCCTTGCTTCCTTGATTCTCCCCACCCAACTCCCATCTCTTCCAAGGACGAGTTCCTGAATCACTGATTGTCTGAACATTCTAATCACTATTTTTAATGTTTTCCTAACAAGTTTAAAAGTATATTCTTGAGGGTGTGAATTTTTGGATTCCTATTAAACAGTAGTTATATTAAGTAATAACATGTACAAATGTGTGTGACTGTACCACCACACCCACCCATGTTCACATACATATAGGGGATGGGAGCCTAAGATCAGGGTTTATGTTATGTTCATGCTGACCCCACTCCGAGACAAGTCCCTGCAGCCTGCCCTCCCATGAGTCTTCTTCTCAGCTTCTAATAGTGGCCTTCACTGACTCTGTTACTTCTTCTCTGTCATTCTCTATCATCCTCTTTTAGAACCCAACTTTCCCATCTTAGTCCAGAACTCTGTATCCAACATATCGGTCCAGTAAGAGTTGAAGTAGGGGTCAAAACAAAGAACTTGGAGTTGGCAGATCTAGATTAGGAGACATGGGTTTGAGTCCCTCTGCCACTTAGAGTAGTTGGGTTCACTTGGACAAGTCAGTGGGCTTCAATTCCTTCATATGTGTCTTGTCCAACTCCTTGCAACCCCATGGACTGCAGCATGCCAGGCTTCCCTGGCCTTTACCATCTTCCGGAGTTTGCTCAAACTCATGTCCATTGAGTTGGTGATGCCATTGAACAATCTCATCCTCTGTCTCCCCCTTCTCCTTCTGTCCTCAATCTTTCCCAGCATCAGAGTCTTTTCCAATGAGTTGGCTTTTTGCATCAGATGGCCAAAAGTATTGGAGCTTCAGCATCATTCCTTCCAATGAATATTCAGGGTTGATTTCCTTTAGAATTGACTTGTTTGATATCCTTGCAGTCCAAGGGACTTTCAAGAGTCTTCCCCAACACCACAGTTCAAAAGCATCAATTCTTTGGTGCTCAGCTTTCTTTACAGTCCAACTCTCATACCCATACATGACTATGTAAATAGAAAAGCACTAAATAAAATCATTAACTTCAGATATCTGTTCTTTGTGGCTAGCAGTAGTCTTTTGATGCTTGACTCCATGTTTTTCCTAGCCAAAAAAAAAAAGTTAATATATGTATATACTGGCTCCTCCCTTACCTCTTCAGAGCAGTTCCTCAGAGCTATCTGAGAGGCTGACTTCCAGGCTGTTGTCCTCAGAAAGATTCCTGAATAAACCTTAACTCACAACTTTTACGCTGTGCATTTTTCTTTCAGTAGACATTGACAAGTGTAGGTTCAGTGGAACAATAGACAGAGGTTCTATCAAGGGTAAGTTAAAGAAAGAATAGGAGATGTGGTAGCAGGGACATCTCCTTCAAGAAGTTTTGTTGTGAAGTGGAATAGAAAACTGGGTAGTAGCTGGAAGGGAATGTGATATTAAGGTAAAGAATAGATACCCAAAACCCAAGCACTAAAAAAACAAATTGTTGATATGATAGCAAACCCAGATTTCCTATTGGAAAGAAACTGATCTGATAAGGAAAAAAAAGAAAACACATCCAAACACATCTTTCTAGATATCATCACAGATTTAGTACTGTAATACAAAACCTGAGTTGAATCTACTTATAAACATAAATTCTTTTAGCATGGCATGTGTTACACTAATTTGCAAGCCTATATGTCTCTCTTGTTAGATTTTAAGGTCCCAGACAATATTTTTCTTATTTTTTAATTCTCTAGAGACTAGCTAGAGTGCCTTAAACTTAATAATTGCTCAGCAATATTGTTTCTTGAGATCTAGCAATTTAACAATTTGTTGAAGTGAAGTTCATTGAAAGTGATATAAGAGGTTGCCTCTTCTGCCAGCTAACCTGACTGACATGGGCTCCTGTTCCTGTTCTCTGATTGACCACTGGGAAGAATTGAGGCATGATTCTCCTACTTTCCTCTCTTTAAAAGTGACAAAATAAAATTCCTATTTGATGGCAAGATGAGAAAAACTAAAATATAAAATTTTTCTTTGTTCATTTGGCCCTCCTCCATCCCCTTTAGTATGTATTGTGTTTCTGCATTAGCCAGACCTCCTTAGAAGATACCATTTCTTCTGAATCTCATTAATGGTCACAACTCCTAAGGAAATAATCTTCCTTCTAAGTATTGCAAGGGGCTGTGACAATCTATGACCCACTACTCACTTTGTACATATAGATCTGGATTGTGTAAACTGTCAACATTTGGTGTATATAATATAATCCTTTGTCTCAACTTGAATGGGTGGAACACTCTTCAGAGCTTTCTCAAAGACTCTCTCCCAGGTTATAATACTCAGATTGGCTCAAATAAAATTTTCTATTTCTTTCTTAGATTGGCTATTGATTAATTTTTCCATCAACAAAAGTCATACAAGATAAGCCCCTTCTGGGCTCAAAGGGCAAAAGGATTGAAGGCAGTGGTTTACCTGCCCTGAAGCAATCGATGGATGAGTGTGTGAATGTGTGTGTTCATGAGGTGGGTGATGTGCCCACTGGAAGGTAACGATATTTGGACTAATTTAGATACTATTACAATAAAATATATTTTAGAATGTAGAATTTGCAAAGTGCTTTCTATGTGTATTTTATCTTCAAAAAACCACAAAAACCTATGATAGACATAAATAAAGCTATGACGAACCTAGTACTCAGCTGCTTCAGCCATGTCCCACTCTTTGTGACCCTACGGACTGCAGCCTGCCAGACTCTTATGTCCATGGGATTCTCTAGGCAAGAATGCTGGAGTGGATTGCCATGCCCTCCTTCCCAACCCACAGATTGAATCCGGGGCCTCCTGCGTCTTCTGCTTCACAGGTGGATTTATTTACTGCTGAGCCACCTGGAAAGCCCCATGACAAACTTAGACAGCATATTAAAAACAGAGACATCCCTTTGCTGACAAAGCTCCATACAATCAAAGCTATGGTTTTTCCATATGGTATGGTATGGTATGGTATGTGAAAGTTGGGTCATAAAAAAGGCTGAGTGCAGAAGAGTTGATGCTTTTAAATTGTGATGTTGGAGAAGACTCCTGAGAGTCTCTTAGACAGCAAGTTCAAACCAGTCAATCCTAAAGGAAATCAGTCCTGAATATTCATTGGAAGGACTAATGCTGAAGCTGAAACCCCAATACTTTGGCCACCTGATGCAAAGAGCTGACGCACTGGAAAAGACCCTGATGCTGGGAAAGATTGAAGGTGGGAGGAGAAGGGGACAACAGAGGATGAGATGGTTGGATGGCATCACCAACTCGATGGACACGTTTTTGAGCAAGCTCCAGGAGATAGTGGGGGACAGAGGAGCCTGGTGTGCTGCAGCCCACAGGGTTGCAAGCAGCCAGAGATGATTGAGCAACGGGACAGCGACAGTGACAACAATCCCTCCGTGCTAGATATTGTTGCTACTTCTCCTCTCAAAGAAATTCGCAGGATTCTGGGCTAGATTCTCCCTATCTTGTTAATCTCTAGATGGAGTTTGGACCTAAGGCTGCTTATCTTTTCCATGAACAGCTTCCTAAATATTATCTCCAGCCGTAATCTTTCTCCCAGCACAAGACCTGTATCTGTAATTGTCTACCTGGCATTTCCATTCAGATGCTTATAAGCCATATAATCTGTAAAAAAAAAAGAATATTTGGTACTTCCTCCCCATGTTCCCAGACATACTCTTTTCTCCAGTCTTTCCCATTTCAGTAAACAATAGTGCATTTTTACCAATAACTAAGACCTTGGTGGTGGTTTAGTCACTAAATTGTGTCTGACGCCTGAGACACCACGGTCTGGAGCCTCCCAGGCTCCTGTGTCCATGGGATTCTCCAGGCAAGAATACTGGAGTGGGTTGCCATTTCCTTCTCCAGGGGATCTTCCCGACACAGGAATTGAACCTGGGTCTTCTGCCTTGCAGGCAGATTCTTTACCAACTGAGCTACAAGGGAAGCCCAAATCAGACCTTAACTCCCCTTTTTATCTCAAAGCTCAAGTCTAATCCCAAAGCTCAAGTCTAATCCCTGAGCAAATACTCATGACTCCACTTTCAAAATCCAACTTCTTTTCACCTTCTCTTCCACTGCCAATCTAGCCAAGATGTCATAACTATTTGCCTTGATCCTCCTGTGTCTGTGCGCTCTGCATCCATGGATTCAACCAACCATAAGTTGAAAATATTTGGAAAAAAAGTCCAGAAAGTCCCAAAAAGAAAAACTTGAATTTGCTGTGCCAGGCAATTATTTACGTAACATTTACATTGTATGAGTTATTATAAGTAATCTAGAGATGATTTAAAGTATACGGGAGGATATGCATAAGTTATATGTAAATAGTACATCACTTTCTATGGGGGCTTGAGTATCTGCAGATTTTGGTACCCACAGGAGTCTTGCAACCAGTGCCGAGTGGATACTGGCTGTGTGTTGCAATAGCCTCTTACTGCTCTTCCTGCTTCTGCTCTTAAACTACTATACTATGATCACTATGATCACAGAGCAGAAGTCATTCCTTTAAAACAGACGCCAGATTACAGCACCCTCTGCTCAAAGCCACAGTGGTTGCTCTTATTATTCAGATAAACCTGAAGTCCTTTCCAATCTTTCCCCAGCCCAGAGGATCGGCCTCTACTTTCAGATCATTACTTACCTGATCTTATCGATCTTCCCTGAAAGGGAGTCCGGGGAAGAGATCAGGAATGAACCACTCTGTGCGCTGGGAAAAAGGGGCAGAACAGGATTTCACAGTTAGATATTTTCAGAGAATTCTATGAGCCCAAATTCTTGCATAGTCTCATCTTTTTGTTGTTTAGCTGCTAAGCTGTGTCCACCTCTTTTCAGACCCCAAGGACTCTAGCCGGCCAGACTCCTCTGTCCATGGGATTTTCCAGGTAAAATACTGGAGTGGGTTGCCATTTCTTTCTCCAGGGGATCTTCTCTCCCAGGGATTGAACCCGCATCTCTTGCATTGGCAGGAGGATTCTTTACAGCTGAGCCACCAGGGAAGTAGCTTATCTCCTACCTTTCAGCTTCTTCTCATTCAACTCTAGCCTCATTCAGCCACTCTTAGTCTCTTATTCAGCTCCAGCCACATTGCCCTCCTAGCCTTAGAGGTTACTCGTTTGATTTGCCTGGAGTGTCAGATATTCACATGGTTTGTGCCTTCACTTACTTTTAGATCTCTGTTCAGATATCTTCTCATTAAAAGAAAAAGAGGTTTGTCCTGTGCACCTTACATAAAATTGCACTCTTCCCTGTCTATTCCCTTACTTTTCTTTATTGTTCAAAATAACAACATTTATATAACATTTATATGCCAGGTACTATTCTAAGTAACTTATATTTATTTATTTTTTCATTTATTTTTATTAGTTGGAGGCTAATTACTTCACAACATTGCAGTGGGTTTTGTCATACACTGACATGAATCAGCCACGGAGTTACATGTATTCCCCATCCTGATCCCCCCTCCCACCTCCCTCTCCACCCGATCCCTCTGGGTCTTCCCAGTGCACCAGGCCCGAGCACTTGTCTCATGCATCCCACCTGGGCTGGTGATCTGTTTCACTATAGATAATATACATGCTGTTCTCTCGAAACATCCCACCCTCGCCTTCTCCCACAGAATCCAAAAGTCTGTTCTGTACATGTGTACAGTAACTTATATTTAATCTTATCACCCTGTAAAAGTGACTTTACTATTTCTGTTTTTTAAAAATATTTATTTACTTGGCTGTGTTGGGTCGTGCAGCATGCAGTCTCTTCACTGCAAGTCATGTGAGATCTTGGACTCCCTACATCTTCCCAGGCGGCTCAGTGGTAAACAATCTGCCTCCCAACGCAAGAGACACAGGAGATGCAGGTTCGAATCCTGGGTCGGAAAGATCCCCTGAAGGGGGAAATGGCAACCCACTCCAGTTTTCTTGCTAGGATGATCGCATGAACAGAGGAGCCACAGTCCACGGGGTCGCAAAGAGTTGGACACGACTGACCACACACGCATGCATGGATGGATGGTCTAGTGTGGCGCGAGGGCTCAGCAGCTGCAGCTCTCGGGGGTTCTAGAGCACAGGCGCGGTAGTTGTGGCCCACAGGTTTAGTTGCTCCAGGGCACATGAGATCTTCCTGGATCAGGGATCGAACCTGCATCCCTTGCATTGCAAGGCAGATTCTTAACCATTTGGACCACTATCGAAGTCCCACTATCTTTGTTTTATAGATGAAGAAACAGAGGTCCAAAGAGCTGAAATTTGAACCCAGGCTATTTGGCTCCAGCCTGTGCTTTTAGCTACTCCACTATTTTGCCTCTTCGTAGCCCCAGTCACCGCTGTATTTATTTATTATTTCTCACTCTTCCCATATATTTCAGTTATTGTGGCGTAATCAACCATCCCAGGCTTACCAGCTTGAAGCAATGTTACTATTTCTTGGAAACTTTGGTTCAGAAACTCATGCAGGGCTTAACTGGGCTGTTATGTATGCTCCCCTTAACAGTGGCTGGTGTCACTCACTCAGTTGCATTAAAGTGCCTGACACTGGGGAGAAGAACTGGGAACAAAGGTAGGGAAAAAATTCAATTTTCTCTTTATGCCATATCGCACTGTTTAACTTGTAACTTTACAAATGTAGATTAGATATGCTTTTTAAAACTTATTTTTAGGAGGATAATTTTTACTCTTATCTTCCTTTCCCTCTTTTCTTAACTTCTGGGATACATTCCTTCTGGACTTTCCTCTTACTTCTTAGACCTTTCCTCAACCTTTTCAGACTCTTTCACTTGTCCCTTAAATACATGGACTAAATAAATATACAGCTCTTTAGAAGGCCTTCATTCAGAAGAATCAGATCTTCATTTCTGTCACATTAGTTGGGGAAGAAAACATAAGCCTAACCTGTATTCAGGGGAAGAGAAAACAGACTCCATTTCTTGATGTCAAGAGTGGCATTTGTATACACGAAGGGAGGACCTGATGGCTGCCACCGCTGGAAATTGTCTTCCACACCACAGAGTGCAAGTTCCATGAGAGGAGGGACTCATCTGTTTGCTCACTGACTCTTTAGTGCCTAGAGCAGCGCCTGGCACATAATACATGTACAATAAATATTTACTTAGTCCATGTACTTAAGGGACAAGTGAAAGAGTCTGAAAAGGTAAAGGAAAGATCTAAGAAGTAGGAGGAAAGCCCAGAAAGAATGTGTCCCAGAAGTTAAGAAAAGAGGGAAAGGAAGGTAAGAATGAAAATTATACTCCTTTTTTTTTTTAGATTTAAAAGCTTTAAAAATAGTTTAAGAAAGCATATTTAATCTACATTTGTAAAGTTACAAGTTCAAACAATGCGAAATGGCATAGAGTGAAAAGTGAGTTTTTTCCCTACCTTTGTTCCCAATTCTCCTCCCCGGTGTTAGTCACCTTAATGCCTCCTTTAAAAGTCAAAATATGAATGTACAAAGACATGGATATTTATCCTCTTTCTCTCTCTTCTAATGTATGCAATTAGTAAAATACAACTCACATGATTCAGCCTCTATCATTTTTTCTCTTAACCTAACTTCCAGAACATTCCACATTAGTACATACACAACATTTTCTTTCTTTCAAATGGTTGCATAAAATGGTTCCATTCTTTGACTGTATCTTTAGTTTTCAAAATTAGAAGGCAATTACTGATTTCATTAGGCCTGAAAAAGTAGAGATTGCAGATTGGGAAGAATGAGGGCTCAGAAAGTAAAAACAGAGGACAAAGGAAAAAGAAATTAAAGATGAATATGCAGGAGCAGGCTTATATCCTTAAGAATAAAGGTAACAAGGGACAGGGAGATTGAAAATACACAAAAGGGAAGCGATAAGTAACTGAGCAAGCCTCTAAGGGGATTGGAAGGGATTAACCTTGAGAGGACAGAACACTTCTAAGGAGAAAGAGAGAGAAGGAAAGGAAGGCTGGGGCTGCAGGTAGTCTTTGTAAAGGTAGCAGTTGGGAGCTAAGGAAATTCATCCTTACTGGTCTCAGTTTCCTCTGAAATGTAGGAAGCAAACATTTTTTATTTTTTAAAATTTGCACCAGCAAGGGTAGGTGGTAGAGCTCAGTAAGAACTTGGCAGAGTGTGACGATTGGGAATAGCAGGAGATAGGGACAGGAGAAATTCTGAGTAGCAATATATTAAGGACAGTTTGGGGCTCATCAAGGTTGCCCGGACACATGGTAGTCCTGACTGAAGTTGGACACCCTTGGTTCGCAGTGGTACGAATCCTCAAGGTTATGTTTTTTCCAGCACTGCTGCAAGAGTTTTTTCCAGTACAAGCTTGACTGAATTGTTACAGGCTAACGGTTTTGCGAAGAGTTGACACATTGGAAAAGACCCTGATGCTGGGAGGGTTTGGGGGCAGGAGGAGAAGGGGACGACAGAGGATGAGATAGCTGGATGGCATCACCGACTAAATGGACATGAGTTTGAGGGGACTCCGGGAGTTGGTGATGGACAGGGAGGCCTGGCGTGCTGCGATTCATGGGGTCGCAGAGTCGGATACCACTGAGCGACTGAACTGAACTGAACGGTTTTGCAGGTGATGGAGAATCAAGGAGTTGAAGATGTTGGTGAACGCAATAGACCATTTATGCACAAGACGGTGAGACCCTGACTGCACATCTCTCGCTGGTGGTCTGAATACAGGTTTGCAGGTCCAGCGATGGCACACTGCCTACCCGTAGAGCTTGCATCCACTCTCTCCCAAGAGTGGCGTCTCCGGAAAATCTTCACGAGGGGACTTAGGGGGCTCGAGTTGAGTCGGGGTAGGGTAGTGACTGCAAGAAGCAGACGGTCGTGAAAATGTGTGCTGGGCAAACAGACTGGCTTTTCTAAGACTGTACACTGGAGAGCCCAGTGGGAATCACAGGAGAGAGCAACTCATTCCCTCCGACCAGACTCCATCCTTTGGAGTCTAAATAAATAACAGCATAAACACAGTAGGAACACTGGCGTCCAGCCGCGCCGCATGGCGATGACGTCATTCTCGCGGGAGCAAGCGGCTCCCGTTAGGGTAGGTACATTCCATCAAAGCAGTCTGAATACATTTCACATTTTAGCCTCTTCGCCTTCAAGTGTAGCGCTTACCCTTCGGACTTGAGCAGCTTGAGGTAGCAACAAAATGACCACGGCTCCCGACCACCCTCCTAGTCGTCTGTCACCATGGAAGCGCTCGGGTAGTTAGGCTGCGGCGACGCCACGTTACGTCACTGCCCAAGTGCATCTCAGGAGGGGTGGTTCTGCGTGGCCTTAAGGGAGAGGCAAGTACCCGCAGGGACGTTGCCCGCGGTGCCCACCGCCCCTTGAGTAATTTTGACCCCTACCAGACGCCGTTGGCATCTGACCCCACCTCCTTCGAGGGTGATCTCCTCCCGCCTTCAGACTCGCAGGCCGCCCAGCCCCAGCCGAGAAGCCCCGCCCCCCGTGAATCAGCTGATCTCACGGCCCGCCGAGCTGCTGGGCTCGCGCCGGATGCAGAGCGCGGTGCCGCGGGTGGAGCGTCAGGTGAGCGAGCGCGGGGCCCGGCTTGGCCCGTGGCTTCGGAAGGCTGACCGGCCGGGGCCTCCAGAGTGAGGGTGGCCGGGGTCGGAGAGAAAGGCGGAGGCGCAGGCCGAGGCCCAGGAGCGCTCTGCGGGGATCCGCGGAGACGGCGCCCCCGTCTTCCCAAGCCAGCGTCCAACCCGCTGCGCCTGCCTGTCGAGGAGCACCCAACGGCCCCAGGTTCTCCCAGTCGCCCCGGTTCCTCCCTCCTCAGACGGCGCGCCAGTGCGGAGACCTCAGCCTCCTGAAATTCTTCGCGTCCCCCCTTCCCGCCTGCACCCACGCTGCCTTCCAGCCATTCATTCCGGAGGATTTATTGAATGCCCACTCTTGGCGCCGACCAGATAAACTCGGGTCCCTGGCCGCGAACGTTGGTGAGTGTCCCGGGAGGGGTTGCCCCTGGATGCAGCTCGCGGTGGACAGCGGACCAAGGGTTTCGCTGACTTGAAAAGGCGGTCGTGGGAAAAGAAAAGGACTGTTATATTAAGAATTAGGAGTTTAGGTTAGTCCTTTGGCTTGTCAAGTGATCCAGCAGAGGGTGGTAAGTGCTTTTGACAAGTGAAGGCAGGAAAATAACACAGGGGTTTTCATGAGGAAATGGTCCTGACGCTGGTGTTGGTCCTCCGTGTATGTTTGGTTAAAGTGGTGGTGTATTGCTTAGGGCTTTGTTGATGAGGGAAGAGGGAAAACACACGGGCTGAAGTGGCTTATCCAAGTACAGTATTCTCTTTTGGGTTTAGAGTGGAAAACTGTTGAATACACACGCTCACCATTTGTCCATGGCATCACCGATGCAATGGACATGAACTTGGGCAAATTTCGGGAGATGGTGAGGTTCAGGGAGTCATGGCGTGCTGCAGTCCATGGGGTCGCAAAGAGTTGGACACGACTGGGCGACTGAACAATGACAACAACAAACGCTCATTCTTAGTCTGTTGGCTTCTGGATTTGTTGGTGGCTGTAAATGTTCTTTAAAAGGCTTAAAAAAAATAAAATTGTGTGATGTGTGTTTATTTTGAACAAGTACAGAAATTCAGCAAACCTGGTGGTCCAGTATCTTTTCAGTTTATCATAGATAGGGATGATTTGGAGTGGCCACTTGACCTCTGAGTTAGTGAATACTTTAAGAATTTAAAAGAGTGGAAAATTCGTTTTTGCAGTAGATTACAGTATTTTAATCTTAATGATACAAGCATAATGGTGAAGATCCTCGGCTTTAGACCTGGGCGTACCTGGAGCCCCAACAACTTACACCTTTGAGTTTGGGCAAGTTACTCATCTGACTGAATATCCTTATCTTTAAACTGGGGATAAAAATACTTTCTTCGTAACAGTACCTTTACATGTAATGGTTCACGTATTGTATTTTTTTTTCTTCTTTACTGAACTTGGCATTGTATGTAAATATTCAATACATATTAGCCATCTTATGTCATTTTCTTTTCCACTACACCATGACCCACTTACTGTTTTCTAAATGATGTGAAAGAGAACTGAATTTTTTCTTTTAGAAAAGAGCTGTAGTTTTTAATATCAAGGGTTACTTTCCAGATAGTTTTATGATGCAGGGGTATATTTAGAGAAAACGTGATTTCAGGTTGGTCTGTAGTAACTTTGGTGTTCCATTAGAGCCTTTTAACGGGGAAAATGCTGATGGAATCTGTACCTAGTTTAAATTAATTACTTAGTTTGCAAACTGTGACTAGTATTGGCAGATGTAAGATTCATAGTTATAAGGAGAAATGTTAAAAGCTGTTTCACATTATTAAAATTTGAAAAGATAATGATGCAGAAAATAAAGTACCAAGCAAGTAATTTGAGAGGGAGAATTTGAGTGGCATTATGTAAGCCCCTTATTTTTAAAATTGATTCGTATAATGTGAACTGGTATCCCTTCTCTCCAGATTTCAGCCTTACAGAATTTATGTCATCATTGACTTACTTTGGACATTTTGACTGTTAAAGAAGCAAAAGGTATGATATGAACCTCACTGAAAACTGATTTTTTTCATATAATTAGATGGAAAGAGTACTATCCTCTACCTCTTCATGAAAAACATGGGTTTAGTGTAGTATTGCTAGGTCCATTCTAAAAGTATTTCCAAAGAATATGACTGACTTGTAAAAACCTTTTGTAATTCTTGATTAACATGAGACAAGGTAAGGAGTGGGTTGAAAAACTATGAAGGAAGTAACAAGTGGTTTTTGAGTTGGTGTAAAAGAAGCCTTGCTTTAATAAAGTGTGAGGTTGAGCCCTTTTCTCAGACACTCAGGGGAATGCTGTGAGGATTTTACTTTGTGAAATTAAACCTATCACATATTCTGGTTGTGTTAGGGATATACATATTTCTGGTAGACTTAGTTTTATTTTTTAGCAATTTTTTCTTTTAATGCTTCATTGATGACCAGGTAATTCAGTCATCAGTTATATGAAAGCAGTAGGTTTAACAGGATATCAGTCCTTAAGAACATGCATGAGAACCACAAATTAAAGCAGCCAACTTGGACTTGATTCTTTTTAGCACTGCATTTATTTTCCTATCCCCACCTGCCATTCCTCTATAGATGTAATGGTGCTATCTTCACATTTTGTCCTGATATTTGCCTGTATCACACAATTGATAGAACAGATGAGCAATTGGTTAGATAGATGAATTAATTGATCCATGTGGATAGAGCACAAATATTCAAATCAGCAAGGTAATGAGTACTTTGGGGGGCGGCGGATGTTGCAGACTTACTCTTTTATTGTAGAGTTTTTTGTTTTGAAGAAAATGTAGCTTTCTCAACTCTTATGGAAAAAAGACTGGGTCAGTGTAATATGGGTGGGTTTTTCATTCTAGGGTTATTTTCTTCCACAACCTGAATTTTTGTTGAGCTGAATTCTTAACTAGGGGCAGTTTCCTAAGCAAACATCTAACAAAGATGATGATAGCAGTTCTTAAAAAATAACAATAAGTAGAACAATCCAGCTGTTCTTTTGTAGGGAAATGGATAAACTATGGTTTATTCATGCAATGAAATACTATCCCCTGGTAAAAATGAGTGAATTAGATCTTTTCTTATCAACATGGATACATCTCAAATACATAATATTGAGTAAAAAAAAACAAATGCCAAAGGATAGATGCACACAGTATTATGCAACTGTGTAGAGTTTTAAAACAGTATAACATATACTGTTTATTGTTATTTGTGTATCTAGTGAGAGTACATAAACATACAAGAATATACATGGAAATAAGACATATTAACTTTAGGAATAGTGGGTAACCCTGGAGAAGGAAGGTTTGGATAGAACTCCTTCAGATCTCTATAATTTTTTCTTCTGTTTTAAAGAGAGCTGAAGCAGATATGAAAATGTGTTAAAATATAAAATGGAATGATAGGTGCATGGATTTGTATTTTTAAAGACTTGTGTATGGTTAAAATAGTTTGTGAAACTAGAACCTTATAATTTTTACTTATAATTGGGCTCTCTTCCAATATGCTCTCTTTATTTTACTTTGTAGCTTCTCTCCCTTCAGCAGGAAAAGAATGTGCCAGTGCAGAGCCACTGTGTAAATCTTTTTAAAGAAAGGAGCCAGACCAATTATTTATTCAATTTTATTTTGCTGTTTGACCTGAGCTCCTGGGAGAAATGCTTTCCTTAGGATATACAGAGTGATCCTTCTTAAGAGGCTGCAGGGGAATTCAAGTTCTCAAAACCTTTGAGAAGTACATGATGGCGAATTCTCAGAGTGTAGGGGAGTGCATTGTATCCTGAAGTCCTGAAAGGAATTTGGACAGTGACTCCAAAGTTACTGTAGATATCATATAGTTATTAGCATTTACTTTTTTTCAAGTTTGCATTGGTTAAATTTCATTACAGTGTAGTAATCCTAAGTTTTATACTGCGAATGCAAGTGTCCTAGTTATTGCTCAAACAAAATAATTCTCTTCCTACAGGTATTAATAAGTAAACGTGACGATAATGTATTAAATGGTTGAGTTATGAATAGTCAATTTAGTGGCTGATCCCTAATATAACTCATAAGTTTAAAAAGAATATTTTCAGGCCTAATCAAGATACCTGTTATTGGCACTTTCAAAATACTCGAAGTGTCTCCAGAACAGTATATTTTGGCATGTGTACTCCCTGTTTTGTGGCCCCTTTTTGACCTTAAGCCCTGGATATTATTGATCGGTAAAATAAGAAATAAGTCAACATAGTTTGAACTGTGTTTCTGTAATGCCTTTTTTTTAAAAAGCAGCCATTTTAATGAAAGAATAGTAGCAAACTATTAAAGGAATAAATAATAATTATATATAAGTATATAATATAAATAATTTCTATATATAAATAATTTATATCATAAGTTATACACTGTCAAGTAATAGATTTTTTACAACCCCATGGACTGCAGCCTGCCAGACTTCTCTGTCCATGGTTTTTCCCAGGCAAGGATACTGGAGTAGGTTGCCATTTCCATTTCTAGGGGATCGTACTGACCCAGGGATCAAACCTGTGTCTCCTGCATTGGGCAGGCAGATTTTTTACCACCGAGCCCCCAGGGAAGCCCCGAAGGGTGAGATTAGCAGGCCATAAAAAAAAAATAAAAATAAGTAAAAACAGAGAGACTATGAAGCCTTAATGTTGCTGATTACACCGGAAAGTCTCCATGTGCTAAGGAGAATGGGACTGTTCTCTCCTGGGTTATCTGACATCTGTGAAGTGGCATGAAAGAAAAGCATCTTCCTTGTTAGGAAGACCATTAGCAAATTATGGATGAAAGTTTTTCTTATGAGAAGATACTTCCCTTCTGTGTCTAAAACTGACCTTTAATTATATATAAGCATAGAAACTTTCTAATCATTTGAAAGTCTAGACAGGAACTTAAGATCAAGGGTTGTCTTCCACTGGGTACTCTTAGGTGTAGCCAGCTTGCACCTAATGGTTACTATGGATACAAGAGCTTACCAATAAGTAAGTCATGGTTTCTGACCTCCCAGAGTTTATAATATATTTTGAATCAATGACTTAGTAAGTGCATTATCCCATTAGTAACAGCATTATAAGTAGTAAGTACTTTCTAGGCCATCCTACTGACTTTATTTATATGAATTAATTTACTGAATTCCTGAACTCTGGGTCAGGATTTAAGGGATAGTCAGCTCCCATGTGATGATAGTGATAAAGAACCTGCCTGCCAGTGCAGATGTAAGAAACATGGGTTCGATCCCTGGGTTGGGAAGATCCCCTGGAGGAGGGCATGGCAACCCACTTCAGTATTCTTGCCTAGAGAATCCCCATGGACAGAGGAATCTGGCAGGCTAGTCCTTGGGGTCGAAAAGATTCGGAAATGACTGAACGCCTAAGCACAGCACAGCACAG